GTTAAACTATGGAAGTGGCAGTGTTCTGGCCTTGGGTTGTCTAAGAAAGAAGCTAAAAGGAAGGCGGCCGCTGATTTCCTGAAGGCGATAATAGACCAAGGCCTCTCTATCCCGACGGAAGAGTTGGAGGCCATTGAAGAAGATAGTTTGCCCTTGCTTGAAAAGAAGGATATGAATTCTCTGAAGGACAGGCAAAGCAACAACGAAAAAGCGGCTAAGTCCGTTCGAAAGCTCTTGTCTGGTGTCTTTACAAGTCGTGGCAAACTCCCTCAACTGAATATTGATAGCACGGCGGTCGGAGATAAGGATGTTTACAGGACGTTGGATGCCATTTTGGAGACCCACAAACTGACTATATCCTACTCGATCGTTAAATCTACAAATTCGGGTAAACTGTTGTTATCTTTGATTTCTGCTCTGCCGATTCGGATTATTTATCTGGATATTTTGCCTATATTGACTATTGACCCTTCTCTGTATTCCTTCGTGATCTCCTCCTTAAATTTGGATAGACTGTAATTAAATCCGGGTCCGACTGTAGTGAGGGTAAAAAACTGCATGTTATCCTCACCTATTTTTTTTCGAATGCGGTACTTTTAACCTCGCTGTGAGTAATCTGCCCTGCTCATTGCATGTGTCCGGTGACCCTAAACCTGCCGCAAGTGACCGAACTCACGAAACACTGACTGAAATGTTAAAATTTGCCCTCGTTTAGAAAGAATTATTTCAGTTGAATTGGCATGTCCTTAGCATGCAGCATAATCACGAAGTTTTTCATCGATGCGCAGCTCTCCAGTCGCCGGTTAAAGTCGCAATTGCTAAAAAGTTGCCTTTAACATAGTCCGCATTTGCTTCATCAACTTGCGACGTCCTCATACGTTTAATGCTGTCATACACAACAACTTTGTATTTTTGGTCTTAGACATTATCTGTCACTGCATTTTTATGTAGCTTTACCACATTACGTGCTGTGCATTATCTGCTTGACAAGAAGTACGCACTCCTACCTTCTCTTAAAACGATGCTTTGCGGTGGACGTGCCTCACGCTATGTATTCTATAAGAAACGTTGGTAAAAGTACAGGTACGACGTTACCTAAATAAACATCTTTCGGATGATAAATATTAAAGCCGACCAAAGATGACATTAACATGGTGCAGTTGCCTCACTTGCCTTATTGTGCCATTCAATGGTGTGTTTTACATTCGATTATCTCGTCCTCTGTTGAATTACTTCGCACATTTGTTTTGCCTTAAGTGATCCCAGAGTGACATCTAGAGCCAGTTGCTAAACTAAGTGAAGTCATGGTTATTACTGATTACTAAATAATAGAATTCTTCACCGTTTTTTGATTGCAGGGAAGGTTTACTGCCAGGCTCAATTGTCAACCCTTCCGCCCCAAGTAATCGGCAGCCGTCCGTTTGAGACAGAGGAAGAAGCCCGCAAGGACGCCGCCCACCGATGTATCACGTATTTAAAAATTATGACTATGCCAGCGCCCCGGTTCGACGACGCGTGGTTTCGTTACTACACTTAGGATATTGGGAACTGTTGACTGCATTTCGTGGGTTGGAGCTCTTGCATTTCTTTCACCTTTCTTTTTGGCTCATAAGACTTGTGTATTTTTTATCTATTTTTCATTATGAGTATATTTATATATAAAAAATTTTGTGTTGTGTGTGCATTCCTCGCCTAATTACTAAAAACGGAAGAGGTTCTTCGGGAAAATCGACTTGTGCTGTTTGGTGACACCGACCTGCTCTCAGACAAGAGAAAAACAAGGAAAAATATGATCTTGTCACTCCAGCTCAGTAAGGGCGACAGAATAAACAAATCATCGGCATGTGAGAGGAGTGGTCACAAATTCATGCGGAAGGAGAGACGAGACAACTACGGATCCTTGTGTTGAAATGGGGGTGAATGATGGATCAGTTGGCCTGCGGACATCTGAAATAGCGGTCATTTATGTAATATTAGACCAGGGATCCGTAAGTCGGGAATTTAGGCTTTCGTAGAGGGCGTCTAGGCCAACATAGTGGTTGATACTGGCGGCTTTGGAGTGCCAAGCTGCAAAACAACATCTCGCTCGTTTTGTGTTAGACATGATGGCAACCTCAGTTTCCTCCCGATTTAATTGTTGGTCGTACTCGAGTACTTGCGATAGGAGGATCTCGACGACGAGGAGGTAGTTTGTGCTTGTCAGTAGGAGTGCCGAGGCATCCGTCCGTATGATTAGCATA